GAGTTTATCTTTGAAACTTATAGGCACACAGATTAAACCTGTGTTGTTGATTTTGGAAAACACTACTGAGGCTGCCTTGCTTCCCTTCAGAAAATCTACATTTTAACCAACTTACATGACATTCTATGTTATATTGACTTTATCATATGAAAGTTTATGGTGCATTTCATCAATTAATAAATAAATGTGAAAATCGTAATTTTCAACACAAATAATAGTCTCGCTACCTTAAATCACAGTCCCTCTATAGATAGAGATAGGGATAGAGGGACTGTGTTTAAATATAACATTACAATTGAATTGCAAACCAAGTACACGTTAGTCTGTTCGGTCATTTGTGTCAAACACAAAGCTAGCTCCATATGCCATAATTTGAAACATCACACGCTCCGTAATATTACATAGTCGGGCAAAAATTACGCGGAACTACACTAATTTAAGTTGATGATGGCCCACTAGTGAACAAGAAAACCAGAATGTTGTTAAACGGTTTTGAAGAAAATCCGCCTGTTTCCGTTGCGTCGGTCTCGTATACAATAAAACTGAGAACGAACCTTTCCGTGCACATTCCGTATAAACACTACTCTTCCAGACTGCTTATATAACAAGTGGGAAAATAGCTCCGGCTTCACATTTCCGTCACAAGTCGGTTAAAAAAACGTGAATTTACTATTGCCCTCAAATTTCCATACTACAGCTCCGGCTTCACATTTCCGTCACAAGTCGGTAAAAAAACGTGAATTTACTATTGCCCTCAAATTTCCATACTACCCGATTACTGGTCATGAAAATGAACACATCTTGTGAACTTATGATAGAACTTATGTCGATTGTACACATAAGTTGAAAACCGTCGCTAACTTTCTTTACAGGCCACTTGGTTGTACTACTGCCCAGTACTGATGTCTATGAATTTCATACTGGTTTAGGAAACGTGAGGCGTATTGTTTCATGGCAAGTAAAAATAACTAAAATGAAATGAAAGTGAATTTAAAAAAATCAAACAGATCTTACTGTTTTTCGGGCTCTCGATTGTGTTGTTTTACTATCATTGCACATTATATTACATATTATATTAAAAGAAAACGATGTTA